CAGAACCTCCTACTGCTTCTGCTCCTCCTCCTCCTCCTCCTCCTCCGCCTCCTCCTCCCCCCCCTCCAGTAAGTTGCCACTAGGGTCCGCGCCTCAGGGACAGATCCTGTTACTCCTCGCGCAGCAATGCTCGCCGCGCGAGGGACGCGACCAAAATAATGCGCACGCCCAGAGGGCAATAGAGACACCACCGCCGTGCTTGGCCAGGGTCCGGAGCCCTGGCATGGTGTACAGTCGAAGCGAGGTCACAAAGACGAGGACCGAGGAAACGAGCCCCATCGCCAAAGGTCTACGGCCCCATGAAGATGCCCAAACCGAAATACACTCCAAGGGGGAGCGCCCACGCACGACATAGGGGTACCCCTCGAAGGCCAAGATTGTGTTTCGCCCTCGGACCAGCTGGTATACTCCCTCCTGTCGGGTCGGACACAACGGAAGGACAGTAAAGGAGGGTGGGCGGACCCGCTCGCGCAGCTGGCTTTCCCTGCGCTTCCCGGCGCCAGAGGCGCCCCACTGCATCGAGGAGAACGCCTGGCGGCAGGGCCGTACCCCCCCTTTTTTCCCAATCTCCCCCGTTCCTCAGGCCCGATCCTGGCCGAGGCCAGGAGGGTCAGCAGACCATCCTGGGGTCCAGAACGGGGGGGGGCAGCGCTTAGTGGGCCCTGGAAACAGGGCCGTTTTTTTACCGGTTCCGTTTTGCCGTTTTTGTTGCCGGTTCCGGCGCCGTTTTTTTACCGGTTCTGTCGCCGTTTTTTGACCGGTTCCGGCCCCGGTTCCAATCCTGGAGCCGTTTTTGTTGCCGTTTCCGGTCGCCTTTTTTTTGCCGCTTCCATGTTCAAGGGACATTTTTTGGAAACGGTGAAAAAACGGCCCTGCCGTTTCCGGGGCCCACAAAGGGGCAGCGGTACCGACACCGCTGCTCCCAGACCTCTCCAGGGGTGCTTCCTGCCTATGATTTCGGTGCGAATCCAGCCGTGGCGCCCAGGGAAGGGTAGCAGCTCTGGGCGTCTCTCCCGCTTCTAAAGAACGGCCCTGGTTAAGCATGGGCCGCGGCCGAGTCCAGGAGCAAACCACCCTGGGGCACACAACGGCCAACTGGCAGGGCACGGCGGCGGTGCAATGAGAAGCGCCATCTACCGAGGCAACGTGGCGGACCACTGCCAGCGAGAAGGGCGGTAAAAATGCCTGCGTCGCCGCCTTCCGCGCCTCTGGAGGGCACAGGGCAAAGCAGAACTGCTGGGCTCGGCCTCTCGTCCTACTCTTCCTCCTCCCCCTCCTCCTGCTCCTATTCCTCCTCTTCTTCCTGCTACTCCTCCTACGCATTAGGTTTCGTATTATGATTGTTCGGATTAACCTTAGTTGTGTTGCCAGTGTTATAATTATTCGCAGTAGTAGTAGTAGTAGTAGTAGTAGTAGTAGTAGTAGTAGTAGTAGTAGTAGTAGTAGTAGTAGTAGTAGTAGTAGTAGTAGTAGTAGTAGTAGTAGCAGTAGTAGCAGTAGTAGCAGTGGTAGTCGTAGATGTAGTCGTAGTAGTAGCAATAGTAGTAGCTCCCTATGGAGCCACGAAACGTGTGAGGGGTGTGCCGAAATTGGTGTGGCTGACGCATGCGGGCGCGGGCACTGGGGCCTTCGGTGGAGCTCCCTATGCAGCCACGAGACGTGTGAGGGGTGTGCCGAAATGGGTGTGGCTGACGCATGCGGGCGCGGGCACTGGGGCCTTCGGCGGAGCTCCCTATGGGGCCACGAAACGTGTGAGGGGTGTGCCGAAATGGGTGTGGTGACGCATGCGGGCGCGGGCACTGGGGCCTTCGGTGGAGCTCCCTATGGAGCCACGAAACGTGTGAGGGGTGTGCCGAAATGGGTGTGGGTGACGCATGCGGGCGCGGGCACTGGGGCCTTCGGTGGAGCTCCCTATGGAGCCACGAAACGTGTGAGGGGTGTGCCGAAATGGGTGTGGGTGACGCATGCGGGCGCGGGCACTGGGGCCTTCGGTGGAGCTCCCTATGGAGCCACGAAACGTGTGAGGGGTGTGCCGAAATGGGTGTGGGGGACGCATGCGGGCGCGGGCACTGGGGCCTTCGGTGGAGCTCCCTATGGAGCCACGAAACGTGTGAGGGGTGTGCCGAAATGGGTGTGGGTGACGCATGCGGGCGCGGGCACTGGGGCCTTCGGTGGAGCTCCCTATGGAGCCACGAAACGTGTGAGGGGTGTGCCGAAATGGGTGTGGGTGACGCATGCGGGCGCGGGCACTGGGGCCTTCGGTGGAGCTCCCTATGGAGCCACGAAACGTGTGAGGGGTGTGCCGAAATGGGTGTGGGTGACGCATGCGGGCGCGGGCACTGGGGCCTTCGGTGGAGCTCCCTATGGAGCCACGAAACGGTGTACTGGGTGGGTGAAGAGGAGAGGAGGAGAGGAGGGGAGGAGAGGAGGAGAGGAGAGGAGAGGAGAGGAGAGGAGAGGAGAGGAGAGGAGAGGAGAGGAGAGGAGAGGAGAGGAGAGGAGAGGAGAGGAGAGGAGACGCGGGGCACCGTCTCTTCAAAACGAGGACCCAACACCACAGGATGGTTGGGAAATATGGGAAAATATGGAGAGTATTTTTATTTGTGTGTATTCATTTGTGTGTCCTGGGGCCCCTTCAGTAAAGGAGTAGCAGCGGGCACTCCGCTGGGGCGCGCACGCGCGTGCCGGAGCGTGCCCCGAGCAGCACCAAGGGCGGCCGCGGAGCGCCGCCAACTGCGGGGACAGGCGCCAGCCACGCCGACTTCGGGGACGCAAGACTCGAGTCTGGGGAACTCGAGTTACTCCAGATTTCGTAATAAAAGGGAGGGGGTCTCAACCCTCCCAGACGAGAAGTTTTAGACCCCCCCCCCGTGGGAGAACCCTCCAAAACATCGTCCCCAGACCCCCCCAGGCCCTCCAAGATAGCCTGGAAGAGACCCCCCCCGAAATGAGACCCCCCTCCCTTTATTACGAAATCTGGAGTACCCGACAGGGCCATACGAACAGCTGCGCGATCTGGCGTGAACGAAACGCGAGCTCCCGATGCCAACATCTCGTGACAGCTTTCGCGCGAGAGCAGCGAGCCAGCGGCTGCAAACCCGAGCTCAGCCAAGCTCGAGTCTTACGTTCCCCCGATGCCTCCTCTACGAGACGTCTCAGACCTCGGGCAGCGACCACCACAGGCGCCCAGCGCTCATGGGCTTCACGATTCCCTTGCGGATGATGAAGTCGCCGAAGGTCTCTCCCTTTGCGCGCTCCTTGGAGTACGCACCGAATATCGGTGTGAGCAGCGCCACGATCTGGTCCTCCGTGACGGACTCCTTGTACAACGTGGCCAGGCGAGACCCGTCGAACGCGCCGCCGAGGTACATGTTGTACGTCCCTGGGGCCTCAGCGGGGGATGCCAGCGGAGAAGGCAGAGGAACAGGAGGAGGAGAACGCATGGAACGGGACGAGGAGGAGAAGACGAGAAGGGGAGGGTGAGGTATAAATGAAGAAGGGCCCCGTTTTCCCCCCCCTTCTGCCGCTCCCTCTCGTCTCCTCCTGCCTGCGCCCCTCTCTCTCTTGCCTCCCTGCTGCCTCCGCTTCCGCACGCCGCCCCCCCCCCCCCCCCCCCCCTGCAGCTACCCCCCCCTCCCTCCGTGCCTGCCTCCTCCTGCTCCAGGTGTGCAGGCGCACCTGCTCCTCCTGAGTCCTGGTGGTGTGCTCCACCTCCCGCTGGCCGAGTCGTCGCCTGAGGTGTGCGCGGCCCGGCGGCGCCGCCGTGAGAGCGCGCACGCCGGCGGGCCGGGCAGCGGGCGGGCGGGAGCTTCACGCCCGCAGCGTCTGCGGGCGATGTGCCGCTGCCTGTAGGTAAGAAGCCGGGTGTCCCTCGATCGGGAAGGGCCGTTGCAGCATCCGCAGGCGGCGCGGTGCTGCGCCTGAGCAACTGTACTTGTTGCGTGAGGCGCGGTGCCGCCCATGTCTGAGCACGTGCAGGGCAGAAGCACGGGGACGGCACAATCTGGGCAAGCTCTGGCTTCAGCTCGAATTTGCCACATCATTCGTTCTCCGACTATGCCTACCACTGGTGAGCGGAAAACACAGCACAGAAAGTTGTCAGAAATGCTACTACATGCCAGCATGCTCCTAAGCACGAAACTGGGTGACTCTCAATCGGACGTTGCTGCTGCAACATCTGCAGACGACGCGGCGCTGCCTCCAAGAGGCCGGGCGCCTCTCTGTCGCAGGTTGCCAGTGCCTCGCGGTACGCTACCTCAGCGTGAGCTGCAGCTTCAACTTGACGAGGCGCGGGGCGCCGACGAAGCGAGCAGAGGTTTGCTCGGCCTGGCGCCGTGGAGTTGACCGAGGAGCTCTCGTTGCGGATGCTCCCAGGAGGATCAAACGTTTCTGCTGCACCTCGACTCGCGCTGGACCTTTCACGACTTCTCAACGCGTCTCTGGCCATCTGCAGATGCATCTCGGAGCAACTGGGCCCACAACGGATTACGAGGAGTTGCACTGACTTATCCAGCTTGGCCTCGCAAGTCGATGGGAGAAGAATCGTCACATCCTCAATCAGGGACATGGGCACACAGATCTCGTTGGAGGACGTCACGGATCTCCAGCACAGGGCAATCGGCAATTGGATTGCGGATGTTTCGGTCAGAGCGACACGCAATGCTCAATCATGCGGTGCCGACCGAGAAAGGGATGGCAGCGCCTGTCCGTTAGCAGCTGCGTCCTTCATGCAACCTACGCGTGGAAGCCGAAAGTGGGACTGGCTTTGTTCCCGATACCACCTCGAAGCAACATAGTCCGACGGATCTGCGGGTGCAAGCGAGGCGTAGCGGAGCCATGGCATGAACACCCATCCAGATAAGTCACACGCTCGGCCTGGGCAAACGCACGCGCCGCGGGAGTTCGACGGAGGATGCTGGCGCGTGCTGCGAGGCACGGGCCGCCGCCAGGGCATGCGCATGAACCCGTGCAGCTGGGCGTGGCGTACGACCACGTGGCCGATTCGGGCAACGCCGAATCCACACATGTTGGATCATCCCCCTTTTACTTCCGGCTGCAATTCCGACAGCACAGGAGGAGGAGGAGGAGGAGGAGGAGGAGGAGGAGGAGGAGGAGGAGGAGAGGAGGAGGAGGAGGAGGAGGGAGGAGGAGGCAGGAGGAGGGAGGAGGAGGGGGAGGAGGAGGGGAGGAGGAGGAGGAGGGGGGGGAGGAGGAGGCGCAGGCGGAGGCGGAGGCGGAGGAGGAGGAGGAGAAGGAGGAGGAGAAGGAGGAGGAGGAGGAGGAGGAGGAGGAGGAGGGAGGAGGCAGGAGGGAGGAGGGAGAGGAGGAGGAGGAGAAGAAGGAGGAGGAGGAGGAGGAGGAGGGAGGAGGACTCGCCTCCCGTTTGCTGCCGCCAAGAGGCGAGGCGGCCCCCACAGGCGAGGCCCCCTCCCGGCACCTCTGTGCAGCCAGAGCGCGGGGGCCGCGTGCGCCGAGCGGCGTGGGCGGGGCCGCTGCGGGGCCACGCGCGGAGCGAGGCGAGCTGAGCCGGCCCCCTTTTCCCCCGTCCTCCTCCCGCTGTCTGCTCACCGCCTCGTCCCTCGTGCCTCATGCATCCTCCCTCCCTCTAAAACGACGCGAAGATCGGGACAAAATCGGATCGGGATAACTCGAAATCTCTGAGAATCGGCGGGTTTGGAGGATGTATTGGGCGCCGCGGCCGCTCCAGAGCGTTCCGGAACGCTCTGAGAGCGCTCCGGAACGCTCTGGAGCGATTTATCCCTCAATGTCCTGGAGGTCCCCTCAGGCCTCTGATGTCTTCTTCCCGCTCTGGGCTGCGTTCCAGCAGCTGCGTCTCGCCGAGAGCATCCCGAGTCTGCCCGAGTCCTAATGAGCGGCCTACAAGGATCCGAGTTGTGGCTCGCCGAGGGGGGAGTGACCTTTGGGGACCGGCCAGCCGATTGTGGCGTGCACTGAAGAGGAGGAGAAGAATGAGGAAGTGGACGAGGAGGGGGAGGAGGAGGAGGAGGAGGAGGAGGAGGAGGAGGAGGAGGAGGAGGAGGAGGAGGAGGAGCAGGAGCAGGAGGAGCAGGAGGAGGAGGAGGAGCAGGAGGAGGAGGAGGGGATGAAGCAGCAGCCTGCAAGCTGAGGCTTGCCCCTCCCCTCGCGCCCGCCCGAAAGGTCCCTCCCGGCGCACCGAAGGGTCCCTCCCGGCGCAGGGGCTGACTCGGCCTTCGGGCCACCGCTCGGGTCCCCGGCGGCCGCTCGGGACGGGTCGGGCACCGCGGCGCGGCTGCCCGAGCGCATCCCACAGCTCCCTTATTGCAGCTCCTCGGACTCCATGAGCTCGCATCGAACCGGATCCTCTTCCCCCTCCTCCTCCTCCTCCTCCTCCTCCTCCTCCTCCTCCTCCTCCTCTCCTCCTCTCTCTCCTCCTCCTCCTCTCCTCCTCCTCCTCCTCCTCCTCCTCCTCCTCTCCTCCTCCTCCTCCTCCTCCTCCTCCTCCTCCTCCCCCTCCTCCTCTCCCCCTCCCCCTCCTCCTCCTCCAGCAGCGGCAGGTCCGAGGGGGCAGTGGGGCCCGTGGCGCGGGCGGCACCCCCGAGGCGCCAAGTCCTGGGCGGCAGATGCCCGGGGTGGGCTCGGGGCCCCCAGGCGTGGCGGAGGGGAGGCGGGGGGGAGAAGGGCGGAACGGGGGAGGCCGTCCAGGGGCAGGCCCTCCAGGTGCCGACGCGGGCGGCAGAGGAGGAGGAGGAGGAGGAGGAGGAGGAGGAGGAGGAGGAGGAGGAGGAGGAGGGGGAGGAGGAGGAGGAGGAGGAGGGGGGGGAGGAGGAGGGGGAGTAGGAGGAGGAGGAGGAGGAGGAGGAGGAGGAGGAGGAGGAGGAGGAGGAGGAGGAGGAGGCGGAGCACCCTTCGAGAGCACGGGACCCTGCGCGGGCCAAGCTGAGGAGCATGCGAGGGCACCCTCCCCCAGGATGCACAGGGACGTCCAAGCAACACGAAGAACAGTAGGGTCAAGTCGGGCGTGTCCCCCTACAGGCGGATGCTGGACGGAACCTTCCAAAATACTCGGACAAAAACTAAATAAACAAAAAAGATTCAAAACATCGTCCCCACACTATGTTTGACTATGTTTGAGCACTCCTCCTGTAGAGGGGCAGGCCCGACTTAACATTAGGATACCCTCCCCGAACCTCGACCTTTCGGGGATGGACAGACCCCCCTTTAGCAAAACGTGGTTTAATGAAAACGACCTGAGGCCCAAACCTCGCGGGCGCAAGCCTGGAAAATCACGGCCACGGCGCCCTCTCGAAAACCGAAAAAGGACAATTCACTAATCGACGTGTCACTGTTGGGGGTTCTGTCCACCCCCGAACCTTATGCTTGGTCCGACTGCAGGCCACGCACCGAATGTCACTCCGGCGGGAGAGGGTTGCCCCTGCATGTGGCCGCGGCAGCGGCGCACAGAGGCCCCCAGCACGGCGCGGACGGCGGGCGTCCGCCGCTCCGCGCTGGGCCGGATCC